GTAACATTTCACAACCACAAACCATATGTTTGCTTCTAGATATTTGTGCTCCATTTTTAAAAACAAAAAACTTTATTCTACACAAAGAAACTTTCTAACTACTGAACATTTATTAAAATAATTACTTAAAGGATGCTAACAACAGAGAGAATGGGGAAAAAATGAAAGACACTTCTTCATTATCCAAAAGATTTATTTGCATGGCGATATGATTATACAGACAAATTAAAGGAAAACCTGGAAAATTAATAGAGAAACAAGACAATACCCCCAACCACAGAGGACATGGGGTCACTGAATGGTTTGAGAAGGAAAATGATGAATCATATTCTATGACCAGATGGCAACCCAATTGAACACCTATGGGAGATTTTGGACTGATATGTCAGACAGCGCGCTCCACCAGCGACATCAAAACACCAATGAGGGAATATCTTTTGGAAGAACGGTGTTCATCCCTCCAGCAGAGTCCAGACACCTGGACTCTCAATGCCAAGGTGTACTGAACTGGTGGCCCAACACCTTACCGAGACACTTAATGTTCCTTTAATGTGTTACCTGTCTGTACGGTCCCATAGTATCCTGTTGAATGACTGTAATATATCATAGTTTTTTTTCCGGCAGCAATGTAGAATTCAATGCAACATCACAATCATCATCATTATAAAATGATAACTTTTAAGCGGAAGATTTTGTGATGTAAAAATCCATTCATTGACAGGAAAAATGCTCTTCCTCATACATTATTCAATAACCACTCCTTACAGAGCATCAAGACACGAGAAGTGCATCCCCGCCTCAGTAATGACAAGTAATTTATCACCCACACGCCCTCGCACTCATTTTCCTTTCATCGATGAAAAGTGAGAGGGGCGCGGCTGGCTTGGCCTCACGGAGGAATGATGTGCATGTAAGAAGCTTGCACACTTTTGTTGACATGACAGGGTTTTGTAAGAGCAGCTACACCAGTTGACTGTCTGCGGCGCGGCCAGAGCATCTTTCATGACATGACTGCACGGCGAGGAGTTCTGATGATGTCGACGCTTTACTAATGGTTGACACTGAGAGGAAAGGTGGCAGGTATCGCATCTTGCTTGATCAGGTTCACATCTTGTGAGGTCCTAAGCATACGGATCCGTGGAGCATGAACCTGCAGTTTTGGTTTATTTAAACTAGATCTGCAAGGCAAAATGTATCCTCTTTGTAAATTAAATTTCCTCACTATCACACAAGTTTTATATCACAATATTTGTTTAGGAAATGCACAATGCACAATTATTCAATTATTTTTTGATTCATTTAAAATCATTTAAAATCATAAAATGTAATCTTTATCTGTTTTTATCTAATTAGCAATGATATAAAACAGTGTACAATATAATAAAACATAGCTTACATCTTTAAACAATTTTTCAGACCTGGTGGTAATTGATTTTTTTTTTTTTGTGTCAGTCTTACCTACAGACTGGTGACCTACAGATGGGTGATAAATTAAAGGAAAGATCAACATAAAGTGTCTCAGTAAGGTGTCGGGCCTCCACGTGCTGCCAGAACAGCTTCCCTGCATCTTGGCATTGATTCTCCGAGTCTCTGAACTCCACTGGAGGGATGAACGCCGTTCTTGCAAAAGATATTCCCTCATTTGTTGTTTTGATGATGGTGGTGGAGAACGCTGAGGTGTTCAATTGGGTTTGAGATTTGATGACTGCAACGGCCACAGCGTATGATTCACATCGTTTTCATACTCATCTAACCATTCAGTGACCCCATGTTCCCTATGAATGAGGTCACTGTCATCCTGTTTCTCCACTCGTTTTTCCTTTAATGTGTCACCCGTCTGTAGCGTTTACAGTACTTAAAGGTGACACCCTAGTAATACCAAAACTAAACCTACACAAACTTTGGCTTCATGCTCTCATTTCACACCACAACATAGTGATAGATAGTTAATGATGCATGAGCGGCATTATGCTAGCTTGGCTTCACATTGAAGCCCTGTGGTTGTGACCTGTTAGGTCGTGCACCAGTCGTTCACTGTTTGTTGACAGTAGATCTACAGTAGTCCTCATTAGATGTATCTGTAGCCCATCTTAAACAGAAACTGGGTAGAAGTTGGGAATGATTCGTAGTTTCTATGGATTGAGATACGGTTTTGCTGATAAATGAGACAAAGCATTGCAGTGCTGTCTTCAGGCCTTCTTAGATGCTCTTGTGACTGTATACTATTATCATCTCTGTAATTTTAGGGTTGGTTATAGTATTCAGTTGAAAATACCACTGAACAATTCAGTGATTCATACTGAAAGCAGGTTAATCTGCTGTTAGACAGAGCTGGTTATAGGTCTGTCTTAAAAATGAAAGGAGGTGAATGCAAGGCAACAGCCCTGCTATAAATACTACAATTTGAAGGTTAAGTGTAGAGCTGAAATTATTGGGCAAAAAATTACCCACCAACAATTTTGGTAATCAGGTAATTGTTTTAAAACATTTGCTGGACCAAGCTTGTGAAATGCAAGGATTAGCTTGTTTTCTGTATTTTGTGTTAATATTGTAAATAAAGCACATTTGAGTTTTTGATTGTGGAACAAAACCAGTAAACACCCTGGGCTATGGGAATTGTTTGTTTGTTTGTTTTAACATTTCATCAACCAAATAAGAAGTTCATCAATTAGTTAAAATAAAATCAACAGATTAATTGATAATGATCTTTTTTTTTTTGATGGGGTTGTATCCATTTTGGGGCCAAAGTTTGTGGCATTTAGTTACATGATATTGTACAGATGTTCCTGCTGTTTTATCCACAACATACAGTGTTTCTACAGTAATATTAAACCAGCCAGATTTATAACATAATATTATAAATCTCTCATCGCTTTTAGAAGTGTTTTGTTATGTTTGACAATGGAAAAAAAATGTTTGCACAAATCAGAAAGTTTTGGACGAAAGGACACAAACTCCTGCGCAGTCAGTCAGTTGTACTTAAAACTGCATGTAAGGGTTTTATTCCCTTCAGATAGAAATCTAAACGTGGTTCATTGCAGCTCTAAGTACGTCTTTGGCACAGTGGCACATCCTAACTCAGATCCTGTTGCTACAACAGTAGCTCTATTATGTTTGATTCTATCAGTGCAATTAGCTTGCCATTTCACCTCCTCCCATGTCTTGGGTGGTGCTGAAACGCACTTGCACACAAGAAGGCACGTCTATTGTAGGTGAAATAAGCCATTTCTTGTAAAGCTGTCATCTCTGTGTCTGAAAGAGCTCGTGGGTGGAGGGAGCGATGTAGCCTAAATTTGAATCAAGGCCATATTTCCTCAGGCATAGAAAATGTAGGCCAACTTTACCATATTTATACAGCATGTAATGTGGAGACAGGAGTACGCGCTAAGTTAATGATTCTGTTTAATTTACTTATCTGTGCTGATTTGATGTGAACAATAAAAAGTAAAAGTCACATTATATTGAATGCGATTTTTTTTTTGTCTCTGACTTCCCGTCCCGTGACTCTCAGCTCTAAGCCCACCAGTTCCTACCAGTGTAAATCTTTAAAAACAGGTCACAAATATATACTATTATTGTATTGTATTGGTGCACATAGTTATTTAGTTAAATATCTGCAAAAGGTTGCAATGATCAACTGATTAATGTTAAAGCAAAGAAAGATTCCTGTATATTTCAACCTGGTGTATTTTCTGTGAGGTGCTCTTGATCAGCTGTGATGAGCACCTGTTGAAAATGGTCGGAGGAGGGACAAACCAGGTTATCGGGGGATGTGCTGGAATACGTCTGATCTACTGGCGTATCTTACCGGACCTATAGCATGTGCGACTCGCTTCTTGATGCCAGATACCACAGGCACCCTCAGAGGTCTTGTAGAGTCCATGCCTTGGTGGGTCAGAGCTGTTTAGGCGGCATGCCGAGGACCAACAGCATATTGGGTGGTGGCCATAATGTTTTGGCGTTTTGCCTTTAATTGATAGTATATAGTTCAAAGTCAGACAGGAAACGTGGGGAGGGAGAGATGTTGTACTTGACTTAACAGATTTTGCATGAGACAGTCCCCGACTATGTTTAAATGCTAATATTTTAAACCAAAAACCAATCGGGCTGAAGTCTCTCTTGACAGTCTTTTGTGGAGACTGAGCCACAGCTGTAGCCATTCATACATCAGTGGATGAGAACTACTTGTTGAGTTCACACCAAAAGTAAAGTCAAAGTAAACAATGAATGAATTCCTTATCATTTTTGATTTTCCTTGATAGAGTTTGGCTGCCCGAACTGCAAGCACCTCGCCTCACCTGGTATGAATGAAAATGAACCAGACTAGATCTCAGGACGCCAGAGATGTACACACCTGTGACGGCAGTTCGATTGTACTTGCGCTGCTGGAAATTTAGTTGAGGCGTGCTCAGCCTCACATCTCGTTGGTGTGATGATGTGACCATAGGGCATATAAACACTTAGTTACAACAACTTCTGTCACTTAAGTTGAATAATTACAGGATGTGTTTCAACATGTAGTCATCAGGATTCTCTCCCTGAACATACAGCTATTTTTCATGTTCTGCTGACAGTTAAAAAAAAATATTATGCAAGTAATGTAATACAGTTCTATAAACACTTAAGTTTGCAGTTTCTTTCATGTGCTTGTTGGTGTACTGCAGTTGATAAAGTTTAAGAATGTCATCTGATGCAGGCACGGTGTTTTTCTTTTGCTTTGCATGCGCAGATGTTTTCGTAAGGTGTGGTTTGTGATATTACTTCAACGTGCCCAAGCAAGCAGCAGTTGTGGGGCAGCTGTTGCCTTTACAGTAATCACATTGAATAAATCACATATGATTTGACACCCTGCCATGCTAGTCATATGACACAAAGGGAGTGAGATGTTGTGGTACACTGAATGCATCTTATTGCGCCTAAATGCTGTCTGGTGCTGAGGGGGTTGAAATAGTCTTTATTGTGTTTATTTATGCTGTTAATTTTGTGTTATTCCTTCACAGAATGGCACAAAGAAATCCTGGGACTTCATGCGAACCCATGACAGGTAAAAATCATTTCTTTCATTACTGCTGGATGGAAGCAGTGCTCCTTTCCACTCTTTCTGTGTCCACACATAAACTCACACAAATACTGTCAAAACCATTTTTCTTTTTTCAAAATGGGCTAAATAATAAAACCAGATTAAGCACTGATGAGGAATAGGTCTAAAACACAGTGGAGTTTGGTTTGCACAGCCAAGACATCACTTCTAAAGAATGTCTGCCAATAAAATAGCTCTGAGATGTAAACACATCAGCATGTTCATCATGTCAGGAGACATATTGCAATCTGAAGAGCTTGTCTCTAAAGCATCTGAATCTGATCTAGCTCTGGGGGATCAACGGATGAGGATGAATGTGGTGATCTGGGCGCTGAGGAGCTTGATTTGCACCAATCCTGACCCGAGCTCTCCGTGTAGCTCTAAATCTTATTTCTTCTCTCCGTCCTCTGCTTTTGGATGTTTTTGCAATGCAACTGAGACACACATTTCAAGAGAAATACAGTCTGTCTGTCTGTCACAACAAACTGCTGTAATTTTTATTCCTAGTTTGGGGAAGCTTTCTGGTGCAGCATAAAATATATATATATGTAATAATAAAGCAATATGTTCATGCTGTGTGGGCATTTTAACAGAAAATCAAAGAAGACAACTTGTGTGTCATCACCTGTAGCTGTAATTAGCATCTCCTCCTCATGGTATTTTTATTCCTCATCTGTCCTACACTGGGAGGATGGTCAACCCAAACCGACCTTGTTTTTTTTAGGATCTAGCGCCCTGTTATTCTATGTGGAAATGGCTATAAATGTCTGAGCTTCACAGGGGACACTGTAAGAGAAATATCACACATTTGTGTCAAAGCCTCAGTTCCTACACTCTGTTTTTGCTCAGGGTACCATAATGCCCTGAGGTGAGTCTCAGGTCATTTAAACCCTCTTTCCTCCACCCCTGACCCCAAAAAAAGGTCCCTCTAGTAATAGTACCACAGAGACAAAAGCAGTAAAGCGAAAATAGCCCATGGGAACATCCAGCTATTCCTCAGGTGGAAATTCTGTCTAAGTGTTATTCCCCCACAAGCGGATATTGAATGGATGCAGGACTGTTTTGCATTTTTGTTTAAGTGTGCGTAACATTTTTCTTCTCAGCAGGCGTCATTCGGTCTTTAATGTTCCGGTACACCAGCGAGAAAAGTGAAAGACAAATCTGAGCAAAGACCACATAAGGTTGTAAGACATGTCATGAGAGTTGCTGGAAATATTTAATTTGGTGAACGTTTAAACGAAGATTATTCTCTGCTTACATTTTTTGCAAAGATCAGTTTTTTTGTGAGCTGCTTCTTTGTTAGGTTTTGAAACTGATTCCTCATGGAATGAAGACTCCTAGTTAAATAACAGTAATTTGTCTACAAGGTTCACAAACATTCACCTTCAACTTCTTTTGTTATTACTCTACCAAGTAACTGCAATTTGATAAATTCTTCTGGACAACTTAATCCCTTGAATGTACAATTGACAAGGCATTACAACATTAGGCTTCAGTGGTTCTACAACATGCTGACGTCTCAGTGGCCACCGTTACTTTGACACCATTTATCAGTCCTTTCATTTCCCACCACTTAAGTCTGGCTGTGAGTCCAGTGATAACATTACGAGCATGGCGGCCCAGACATCCCTCTCCTAAGTCGTGTCCTGCCGCTCTTCCATGGGATTCCAATGTGTTCCCAGATCTGATGAGATATTGAATCTCTCCACAACAAAGAGTGTGACTGAAACTGCTCATTTTGCTATCAAATTTATTCAGTTACTACCGAGAACTCTTGGTGATAACTTGAAGCTGGAGGGTAGATTGGTAAATTGGGAGCTGCACCCTCGGACTCACCTCTTCACCAATCTGACAATCTGGTACAACGCTGGCTTTACCACTGACGGTACACCAGTCCTTCCATCGCTCTAACACCGCATCTTACCCTCATCCCGAGCCACTGTTCACCCCTTTATTTGGGGCATTACATTCCTCCAAATAGGACTAGGAAGGGGTAATGTTTTCCGCCAGATGTGCAATGGGCGCCGATAAGGAGGTCCTGGCCCTCAGTCGCACTAAAGGTCTCAGCCTGGTGAAGCCAACAGAACTGCATCAAAAAGCAGGGATGCAATCTTGAAGTCTTTGTACAGGACACTGATCAGTTCTGGGCTGTGCCTTGAGATGTCGTCCATGAAACTGATTTGTAACAAGGCAAAATACCCACCAAGAACTTGCTTCACCAACGTCTAAGCTTTCTCTAAAGTTACAAAAACACATGTTTGCAAATTCCCATCGCCTTGTTATTTTGACACCTATGTGTTTATGGGAGTGTTTGCATAGTGGTGCTTGTTTATTACTGGAAGTGACTTTTAATGAGAGCCAGAGTGTTTGTCAGTGCAAGAAATTCAGAAAGATCAAGTCATTTGCATATTTTGTGGTTTCGGTGCAGTCCTGCTCATGTGTCTTTGTTCTCTTCCATGCCATTGAGTTGAGTATTCATCTATCTCCAGCCGGCTAATACCTGTGGAGGCTACACATCATTCTGCTTTTCATGTTTGGGATGAGTTTGGATCAATTTGTAGCACACAGTCAGTTTATTTTTAATCAGTATTAGTAGAATGAACAACAGCTGCAAGGATTCATTTTTATCAGTAATTCTTCAAGAAAAAAACAGCAAAAAATGAATTGGTATCAGCTTCTCAGATGTGGGGATGTGCTGCTTTTCTTTAGTGAAGTATATTGAGTACCTTTGAGTTTAAAACCGTCGATTGGACATAAATGCATCACATTTAGTTACAAGAACTACAGGCAAGTTTGTCTGTAGACTTGTTGGTTGAGTCATTGCCTCAGTTATGGTATTGAAGATGGATTATATAGAACTTTACACAGTTTTTCCCCAGTACAACAAGAGCCTGTTCTGATGAGCTCTGTGTTGGGATCAGTACTCACCTTAGTCCTGCTCCTCATTTGTCTGCCATAACCCACTTTTTCCCGCCGTCCAGCCAGAAGCCCTGCAGAGAAAGCTTAACGGTGCGTGAAAAGTCCTGAGCGTCCGTTTAGCCTGCTTCTTGGTTTAACCATTAGAATTTCTTTTTTCCTGCAGGAAGCTGTAGAACAGCAGTAATGGTGTGGAACAGCACTACAAAACCCAGACCTCCCTCAAGGGACAGCTCTCATGCCTCAGGCTTGTGTGGCCCACTTTTGAGCTAAATCTACCATATTGCCTTATCCATACTTGCGCTCTACAGTGGTGATGCTCTTTCTGATCCAGCTGTAGACTGTCACGTACATGGCTAATGGTTTTTCATAGCTCAAATGTTTGTTAGACACATTCAGAAGATTTTCAGAGAAACAGATTAATTATGATTAAGTGATTTCTAAACTGAAATTTTCTGACGAATTCTCTTTGGAAATGTCAACGTTATCCATGCACAAAAGCTAAGACTTAAGTAACGACATTATTAGCGATGCTTTATCAAACTCTGATAATTGCCTTTTTGCGGGTTTCTGTAACTGGTTGGCCTGGATGTGAGGCCCTGAAGGCATCAGTATACATATAATAATTAGTTTGTATGATGTTTTGTTCTGCCTGTCTCAACAGTTGCTTACACCTGTTCAGAAATGCCACACTGCAAGATGGCAGTGTCACGCCTCCAAGGTCTCATTTAGAAAATTCTGTCTTTTGCATCCTTGTAGTTTGAACACAATGAAATGTTTAAACGGGTATGACAGTGCACACTTTGGGACAGTCTCGTCTTGAACGTGTTCACCATATACAGATGATTCCTCCATCGGTAAAGGGCCTTCAGACAAAGGTATATGATGCGATAATCACTTTTTGAAGCATACTTTAAAAGTGGACCAGAAATTTTTTGATCAGTAGCCGAGTCAAAACTGACTCAGTCTGCTCACATTGCAAGTGTTATGACTTCAGCATTATCAGACATCATTTGCTCTGCTTAATGAATTACATTTTTATCTCCAGCAGTGGAAAAAGAAATTATAAGTCATTTTACTTTGTTAAATTGCACCTGAAACGTGTTGAGTGAGTGAAAATTGAAGTTGCTAAACAGGCTTTAACTGCAGACAAATGACACAAAACTATTTACCAAGGCAACCAGGTCAGCTGACATTGTTACACACTGTTTCATTCAATAACCGTATATACTGTATGTATATAGCAAACAGTTATTAAATCAGTGTCCCTGGCGCTGCAGCTAGAAACAAGCTGTAGTCGCAATCTCCTGGTTCCCTCTCGCCATGGGAAAGACAGGGCAGGGCTTCCTGCCGCCTCAGACACATCCGCTTTCCCAACACAGACCCCAGGCCCCAAGTCTCCACTGGCAGCGACAGTCACACTCATATGCACACACACACACACACACACACACACAGAGAGCAGTGACCCACCTGTGTGTATACCATTCACTGGGTGCCAGTGGAGAAGCAGATCACATTGACCCTCCTTCTTATGCGAACATGAACATGGGTGTGTATGCAGTGCGCCTCCATTTTTTGGACTGTATCTGACTATGTATTTAGTCATTGTCCAATAAGAATTGTCCAAGGAAAGATGAACTAGGTGGGGCATGGTATTCTGATTGGATGAGAGTTCATTTAGTAGTTTAACATATCCATCAATTAGCTGTACCAAGTATCCTTTGAGGGTTGCGGGGGAGTAGGAGCCAGTCCCAGCTGACATTGGGCGAGAGGCGGGGTACACCCTGGGCAGGTCACCAATCTATCACAGGGATGACATATAGAGACAAACACACCTACAGGCACCAACTTAACCTGCATGTCTTTGGACTGTGGGAGGAAGCCAGAGCACCCTGAGATGTTGGATTTTCCCCAGGCAGACACCTCTTTTAATCCAGAACCGCCCCGCTTCCCGCTCCCTTCTTTCTAATAACTGGTGATTCCATTACATGGAATTATTTAAAAGGTGATCCAGCCATGAATTACTGCCCGCTTGAAGCTAAAGTCTCAGATATGCTGAGAGAGATTACCTCACCGGTGATACATCATTTAGTCAGGGATATATTTTAAGAGAAAGTTGTCTGAGCATGATATTTATTTAACGTTTTTCTCTTTCCCCCAGTGTATCAGTGCTGATCTTCAACACCACCTCACACTGTTTTGTCCTTGTCAAGCAGTTCCGTCCAGGTAGGTTTTCACCTCACAAACCAACACACCAGTGCTACTGTACAGTGCAGTTTATTCATTTTCTTCTTGTCACCAGATCTAGATTGTTATATATCCTGTGAGCACTTTCACTAAAAAAGCAGTACATTACAATCCCTGTTTATTCAACTGAATCTTAGTAACAATGCCGACTCATAAATAGACTGCAAGAGGCCCCGTTACAAAGCAGCCTAACCTCCTTTGTTAGAAGTCGCCAGGGACTGTTCCACACCGCAGTGTGCTAAATTCAAGGAAGTCTGGGCACTGATATATTTTTTTTCCTCTCCTCTCTCATTGCTGTAGGGAGAAAAAAACTGTTCTTTATCTGAAAGAAATCAAGTGGTCTACAGCCAAGAATGGCATTCATTTTCAAACAGGGAGTGTACAATATTTTTATCAGCTTGTTGACATCAGAAAACAAATGCATAGAAACATATTCAGGGTTTTCCCCCCAGGAAATTAATTAGCATAACTGCTAAGTACAACATTTCTGACGTTAGCAGAAGCACTCTTTACTTCAGGTGGGGCAGGACACCTCCACTAAAAACTGCTGCTGGAAACCCTGACACTACCTGATACTGATATTGCTCTGATCTGATGTCTGAATGATTACATTGCATGTGCTTAACGTGTGAATTTGACAACGACTAACCCAAGTTTGGGTCTCACTTTCTGTGCGTTTCTGAAAAAGTTATTTATGAGTGAAAGGAGAAAATTTCTCAATTTATATTTACAGCTGAAGCAGGGAAACTTTCAAGGAGTAATCTTTGTGCTGAAGGCTTGCAAGATTATTTTCATTATTGATCTATTGATTGTTTTTCCATTTAATTTATTAATCATTTAGTATTATGTATTAGTATTATGTATTCTACATTTGAGTCGATGTAATTTAAATATCTGACTCAGCTCAAGCATCACAGTAAAAGTATAATATCTAAATACCACTGGAGGAATCTAAACGGTACATAGTGGTAAATCGGTGAATTTAATAGTCTCTGTATCTGTCAGTATTTACCAGAATGACTCAAGAAATTATCTGATATTTGTAAAAATGTCAATATTCTGCCTCTGTAAGTCCTGCTATAAGTTACTGTAAATAATAAGAATCATTACGCATGTTTTTGGTGATGTGGATAAAACAAAAGTCATAGTAATGAGAATCATTTCTTGCTTCCACGCAGGTAATGACATTATATTCTCTCTTTCCCCACCACCAGCCGTATACATGAATGAGTGGGAAAAGACCAAGACGCAGCAGCCTCAGTCGGCTGAGAAAACCGAGGAGGGTGCTGCCGAAGCCGCAGCCCCCGAGTCTCAGGAGGGCCAGTCGGCCTCGGAGGGGGAGAGCTCTTCTCAGTGGCCCCCGGCCTCAGCGGGGGTCACCTATGAGCTCTGTGCTGGGCTGGTGGACAAACCCAACCTCTCCCTGGAGGAGATCGCCCGGCAGGAGGTGCTGGAGGAGTGTGGCTACGACGTGCCTGCCTCTAAGCTGAAGAGGATTACTTCTTACAGGTTAGCAGGTTCACTTAACAGAGGCCTTTAATGTGTTTTTTACTCATGAACCTACCCATTCCCTAATGCTTTTCATTGTCTTTTGAATATCTGCTTTAATTACACTCTCTGGATTTCATCTCCCTTAACAATTAATTTCCTGTTGTCCTATTTTGTATAATTTCCATGTAATATATCATTTCTGATCTTCCTTAAGCTATGTTCACTCAGAAATAACCTACATTTGCGGCCTTGTTTCTTTTTGTAGACTTATTGGTGTGAAATTCAACTAAAAGGAACCATTTAAAACATCTTTCAAAAGTCTTATAATGATCCTGCACCCAAATCTGTTGAGCACTCAACACTCACCCCCCCTGTATACTTGAAAGGTGGCTGGTAAAAAGTTTGTTGTTTTATCTCTAACCTATGGAATTACAAAAGTATGTTTATTTAACCACTCCTGCACCTCCATCCAGTCCAGTCCGACATCCGAATCACTACCCACATATCCAGCTTCTTCTTCTTTTTTTTTTTAAGTAGTTCAGTGGGGTTTGGTGTTGCGTTCAATGACGCCTGACAACAAAGCTAAGAGCTTTGTAGGTTAAGAATGGAAACGTCACATCCCTTTGCTAGAGCCAGAAAAATAACTGCAGCTTCCACGTTAAATAAAAAATGCTGCTGGCAGGACCAATACATCACATGCTAATATGGCTAATATGGCTAAATCTGTCATTTCTCTATCAAACCTCACACTCGCCGTCGTCAAGCTCGCAAGAAGGTGTGTGCATTGGTTTGTGCACATACGCGTCCCGCTCTTCCATTGGTCAAAAAGAACAGGCTCTTGTGTCCGGTGTCAGGAAGGAAGTGCTTGAGTGACATTTTTGGTTATGTCTTTTGAAGGAAGCCCCAAAATGATAAAGTAAAAGTGGCGAGGTTATGCGAGTGAGATGAAAAGAAGCGTTAGGCAAACCATCCATCTTTGTGAGTATATCATTAACAAGCTACAGTGAGACGCCGCAGTTTAAAGTGTCAGGAGATGGAAAGTCCCACATTAGACGACAGCACCTGGACAGCTTTGACTGATGCTTCCCGTAACTGTGCTTTTGATTTGACTCACACTCCTCCTCCAGCTGTGTTGGTGTCGTCTATGGCCATTGTTATGTGTGGGCTGCTTCTATTAAAGAGATGGGTATCGTCTTAACCCTCATGACACCTATGAGGGTGTGTTTGACAGAGGCAGAGTAAATGGTGAAGCTCCTCACTAATAACGGGGCAAATCAAGGTCACAAACCTCTGCAGCAGATGATTACAGTTCGGTTTAAATGGCAAAGAAACTCTAACGACTAATACTGGTGTTGGTGTATGTTGCATATTATCATATCTCAAAGATGGAGAATTACAGCTTTCATATGTGAATGTGTCGCCTCCGAACATTTTCATCCTATAGATCAGCTGCTCAGATCTAATCATTTTGATCATCATCAAGTCGAACTTAATCCTTTTTGAGTACTGACCAAACTGTAGCTGCAAAAACAAACTGAATTGCCAATTTGTTTCACATTGTGTTTGTATTCCACAATTTCTTGTTTTGTTTGCCCTAACCAGAAAAGTGGTGAGAGACATATCGTAGTTGACTTGGAGGCTTATGTGGATTTAGGAGTTGTTATTTCTGTAAGTCAAAATTTCAACAACTTATAAAGCTCATCCACACTTTTCATGAATGTTTATCCTGCCCTCTAAGCTCTGAGTCTGAGCTGTTTCTCCTGCCATTGAAAACAGTCGTCAGTGAACTCAACAAAAAGACCTATTTGGAAAACTGAACATATCTGAAATGTGGGCAATTCAGAGTTCTTCAGAAATGTGTCAGAAATGTAGCAGCAGAAAACAAAACAGTTGTATTTAAAACTGAAAGCTGGCACTGAATGTCAGATTCTTATTTATCATTTAGTTTTTCTTTTCTTTTCTTCTAAAATCATAATTGAGAATGCTAGAATGCTTGTTTTAGAGAAAATATCTATTGCATTTGTATTTCAAGTTCTTTGCTGCTTTATGTTAAAGGGGAGCTAAAGAGGCAGATTGTACATGTCAGCTCACTAGTCATAAATGTCCTCTGTGTCTCTGCTTTAACTATCAAGTCAAGTAATCTTGCACTTTTTTATGAACGCCATACTAATACTAGGTAATTCCTCCCTTTCCTCTCCAAGCAGCCTGAGTTCTTCATGTCTATTGGATTCAGAGCTGGAGACTGGGGAGGCCACTGAAGTACACTGAACACATTGTCATGTTCATGAAACCACTTTGAGACGACTTTTGCTTTGTGACATGGCTCATATTCATGCTTAAAGTAGCCGTTAGAAGACGGTGCATTGTGGCCATAAAGGGACTCACATGGTCAGCAGCAATATTCAGATAGACTGAGGCATTCAAACCATGATTGACTGATAAGAAGGGGTCCCAAGTGGGCCAAGAAAACATTACCAACATCGTTACATCACCAAATTCTGACCCTACCATCTGCGTTCCTCAGCAGAAACCCAGATTCATCAGACCATGTTATTATCCAATCAACCACATGATTGGCTGATTGGATAAGTGCATTAAAAAGCAAGTGTACAGGTGTTCCTAGGAAAGTGCTCGTGACTGTATAATACTAAATTGTTGGAGTGCCCTGATAAACTGAGAAGACACTGTATTTAAGAAAAGGTACCAAAAAGAGTATGATTTTGGTATTGGAACTTAATTATCTTATTATCAGGAGTTTTATTCAGGAGTCAAATGTGGAATCTTAAAATACTGGGAATATAGAAACCATTTTTTCCTTTTCCATGTTTTTTTTCCACCAGGTCAGGTGTAGGTGTAACGGGTGCCAAGCAGACCATGTTTTACGCTGAGGTGTCCGATGACAACTGCGTGAGCGCAGGTGGAGGTGAGCCCCGGGAGGGAGAGCTTATCGAGGTGGTCAAAGTCCCGCTGCACGAGGCCATGACGTTCGCCTACAACGAGCGTATACAAAAAACCATGGGCGTCATTTTTAGCTTCATCTGGTTCCATAATAACATGTCTCCCAAGTACAAGATCTCCACTAATGTGTAACTAGTATTAACCAACCCGCTTTCTACCATTTATTCCAAATTAAATCAAACACTGGCCCAGCACTTCCTCTCTTCCCCTTCTGGCTCTTCATCCTGTGTTGCCTTTTTTGCTTATTGGTACATGATGAAGGGTGGGCCCCTTGTCTTGTTGCCAGCAGGTATCTTTAAGTTTTGTCCTGTCTACCTTTTTAAATTTTATGTGGTCTTAATATTTTTCCTAAAAAAAAAAAACAAAACAAACTTGCCATAGCTGTTTGCCACTGGCACTTTGTTTCATTTACTGTGCCATCTGTTACAAATGGCTGGATATCACTGATTTCATTTGCCTGCCCTTGATTTAAAGGAATGCTCCACTGGTTTTTGTTGTGGATGTCGAATGTTACTTTCAGGATATGTTACTGATTTAAAAAAAAAAAACATTTCCCTTTCCTCAAACTTGTTTTAACTATTCCTGCAAAACCCACTGTTCACTGCAAACTCTGTGTTTTATGCTGCGTTCATGTCACATCGGAGTTATCGTTATTACAAGTTTCCGACTTGTAATTACAATAGGTAACCAAACCAAACAAATATGCCTCACACAATTTTAGTCCATGGATTTGATCTTATATTGTCAGCCCACTATATTTTTAAGTCTCAGAAAGCCAGCTCTGTCGTCGTACAACAGTCTTGATGTCATGAACATAAGTTGCTTACATGGAAATCTTTCCCTTCTCTACCAATCCATCCCATATGACGTGAACTCAGCATTAAACCACGATGCTAACCAGCCATATACCCCTGGTTAGCTCGGGTTTGCTAACATTTTAATGTGCTAGCATTTGCATTGGAGCCATATTCATGCAAACCTTTATATTGCATCTAATGTAATAACAAGACACAGCAGATGAGCAGTGGCTACTTTTTGCAAATGTTCACTAATGACATAGAGGCAAGGCAAATAAAATAAGATAGAATAAAAACAGTGGAGTATTCCTTTAAGCCATGATCCAGTAATGCAAAAACTATGCTAGTCAATTGTGGGGCCTTGTAACTACGCAGGTGTTAGGTGTGTTTTAACCACCAATTGTTCAGGCATGCCTCAATTAATTTCTCTGATCCACAGCCTTTAAGCAATACTTATCACAGTACCCCGGGCTAAACAATCACTCAGTGTCGCTGAACTCAACTCTCACTCTGTTGGAAATCCTTCATCAAGTCAAACCAGTCGACATATTTGCAGACTTTATTCACTGCACAGAAGGAAAAAAAAAAAAAGCATACACCTACCTCTGCACCGAGGGCCTAATTTCTGTTTTCAGTGTGTCATTGTACTCAAGCACAATCCTGATTTGAAGCATACTGTACTAGATTAGTAGAAGATGTAACACACTGAAATCCACTTCAAATGACATCCTCACGTTTAGTTAGGACTTCAAAAAGCTGTAGTGGATTTACAGTTTGTTTTCAGAACCAGATGTTTTGTCTCTAAAATGTCAGTGAACAACCTGAAATCCTTTTGACATAGAGTTTTTATTGACATAGAGGAATTTCTTTTTAGCCTCTATTGCATATTCTTCTTTCTGAGATAAAGACAAACTGCAAAATACAGCAAGTCTTCAAAGGTCAAATCCTCTATTTATTTATTTTTTTTTAAATCATTTTCATTACAAGTAAGTCATTTCTAGGGAGTTAATTATATCCCTGGCATGTTAAAGGTTACATTTTGAACACAATGCAGGTTTAGGAGCATGTCTGGAAGGAGTTCAACCATCTAACAGATTGCCTTTAATCATAATTCATTTGGGAAGGTCCAGTGTAAAACGCAAAGTTAATCTCAACAGCAGTTTGCCAAAATCTCAGGTCCAAAATCATCAAACCTTTGGTCATATTCAGGGAAAATCTCTGAATGTGATGATGACCAGCATGTCACTATTATAGTATTATATCTCAAAATCACTTGCAGCTTATAGGCAACAAAGTTCTTACTCTTCTTACTATAGTATATGTTAGTATTTTTCTTCATTCAAAAAAAGGGCTGGTACTTCTTTTATTATTTAATATGTGATGAAACAACACCCCCCCTCCCTCCCCTCCACACCCCACCCCACACACACACACACACACACATATGCAGACACACATACACACACACATACACACACACACACCTTGTTGTTTTTGTTAGAAATATGCAAGTACTGAAGCAAAGCCTAGTGTTTTTAGAAAACGACTGCTCACTTAAAAAAGAAAAAAATCTTACATTACTATCCGGATCAGAGTTCAGCTCTTGGTGCACCAGCAGAGTTTGGAAGTTGGAAAACACAAAGCTGTAAGTTGTTGAAAACTAACCTGCCTGAATAACTTGATGGTTTTGCTGAATTTAGACATGAAAAAAAAGAATGCTGTGTGTTAATGATATTTGGTTATTATTTATATGAATTTTAAGTGCAATGTTGCTACAAAATGCTAACACCTTAAAATATTAATAGGTTTTAAAATAAACATACATATGTCTTATTAAACGAAAACAAAATCTAGTCCTGATATTGAAATTTGTTGTCAATTAATTCTTTCTTCACCCAGATTTTATTCTCTGGTGTGAAAACTAAAAATTACTTGAGGTGAATTTAAGAATGAGTCCAGGATTCATTTGTTGTTTTCTCCTTTTTGAGCCTGAGGAACAGCTGACAATCAATTTGTCCTCTTTTACCCATAAAACCTTGTGTTTGTTTGTTTGTTATGTTTGTTTTGTTTTTTTGTTGGTTTATTTTTTGTCGTCATTTTCTTTCATTGGTTTGTTCAGTGTATGTCCTTGTCCCGTCTGAGTCTCACAGCAGGTCTCTTTGAAGGAGGCCTGAGCATCATTTTCAGGCATCTCAGTGCAGTTATCTGGTGCCACTTGAGCTCTAAATGCATCGCTCTCATCTGCACAAACAAAATCAAATCAAAATCAATCGAATTTGAATGAACAAATCTAAATATGTTTGGTTTCACACACTGAGTCAAATATTTGGAGACGTAATTTTCGCCCAAACTGTGTAGGAAAATATGCACACAACCCTGAAGCCATATTTATCTCACCCTACGCCCAATTTCCATTCCTTGATGTAGGATTGTCTAGTTTGCTGGAACTGCTTGAATTATTTTTATTAATTATTTTATGTTAATGTCTTTGCTAAATTGATTCATATTCTCTCAGGAGTAATGAGGTGCCCTAACCTGATTAATAATAGATGTCCAATAACTACATCAAATTCTCCTCATGTTGTTGGTATCAATTGAGATTCAAACCACAGGATGTATCTACTTTAACAAGTTTAACATCAGGACACTTTGGAAAAATGTGGAAAGCACCTTTGGAAAATCCTGAAATGACCACTGGAAGTTAAACTAACAGGGCTGTCATACGACACTTATTAACAATATTTTTTTAACTGCACACTACGTCATGATAACCAGCCACTATAATATCTTTAAGTGTTTTTTTTGTAGCTTTCAGAGAGTTATTTATTTGGCACCTTATCCTCATCAGACCTCTTTCCTTTATTCTCCTTATTTCATCCCTTCTTCCATGTGAATCTTTTCTTTAGTATTCAGGTGATTAAGGTCCACGTGGATCTCAGTAGTTCAATGGAGAACCTCACTGAAAGATTTCCAATGGTGCTCACAGTTTTCCATCGTCTAGTTCTTGTCTGGTCTGAGATGAACCCATCGTGGAGACTTTTTGTCTTGAAATGACTCTTGAGAAAATTATTTTGTTGCCCACCTTTTAGCAGAGTTTACAGGGGTTAGCCATAATCATCGCAAAGTTGACAAAAACAAAAAAAAAAACAACAACCCTAGATACTGTATATTCAAACAGTCAGTTTGCCGAAATGAAGCCATCTGCTTCTGATTTGGCTTGACCTAAAATGTGACAAACAAAAAGCCATTTTAACTTGTAAGGCCAGTCTGTGACTTTATGTGCCTGTCAGACGCGACTTCTCTTTTGTATAAAATTTTGAGGGAAGTCGTCACAAAAGTGCGAGGCTGTGTTGCCGTCTCCGTTGGCTTGTCACTGTGTCAGCCAGTAAGCCGACACGGGTGCGAATTTTCCCACAGCTTCCCTCCATCTATTATCTGAAAGTCAAGTGCATTTAGTGACTATTATAAAAGACGCACAGTAGCATTAAAGATTGACCGACTGAAAACGACAGTGACATTGAGTCTAACGTCTAACGTTGTTACTGAAGCTGTAGAGAATTCAGTTGCCAAAAGAAACAACCAATGTGGCAGCACTCCAGGTTCAGCTGGTTCAGCCAGGTTCTTTATAGAGGTTGTTAATAAACAGTTAAACTTAAATTCATGGTAGGCCTGTATTTTTATTTTTGTTCAGCCTGTGGAGTCAACATTCACGAGTTGATCTACTTTATCAGACCTGCAGTCTATTTTGTACTCAAGCATTTTTTATTAGTTTTATAAGCTGTTTAAAAGTGGCTGGCTACGTCTGTATCTTATTCAGTTTCGAATTTTCTGTGTGTCTTTCTGCATGAAATACTAAAATTTGAGTTTAAAGCCAAACTTCAAACTTTCATAGTGTTGAATTCAGTCTAACGGGAGCCGTATAAAAGTCAGTAATACTGGCGATCGGCAGTGATCTTAAAGGAAAAGTTTGAAATTTTGAGAAATGCAGTTATTCGCCTTTTACAGTTAGATGATAAGATTGGTGACACTCTCATGTTTGTACAGTAAATATACAGTAAATAGATTCCCAGCCAGGGGACTCTTAAGGCATGTAATGGCCCTCTCTCTCTCTCTCTCTCTCTCTCTCTCTCTCTCTCTCTCTCTCTGTACTGTGAACTGTCAAATAAAGTCAAAATGCCAAAAAAAAACAAAAACTTTTATAACCCCCCAGTAAAGTTGCAAAATGTTGTTTTTACACTTGAGTTTTTGTACGAACTAAACAAACAAGATACAGTGTGTTAATTAATGAACTGTAGGTGTTAGCAGTTAGCTGTGGCTAGCTGCCCCCCCCCCCCCCCCCCCCCCCCTCCGTTTCCAGTCTTTATGCTAAGCTAAGTTAGCCAGCTCCTGGCTGTAGAGTCATATTTACTGTACAGACAACACAAGTGTGGTAGCGATCCTCTCGTCTAATTCTAAACAAGAGAGTGAAGAAACACATTTCCCAAAATGTTTAACTCACCTTTTTAATTTTACCACCATGACAAGCCGAACTTTCCCCTCTGCGACAAAACTAAATGCACTTTTGACAGTTTAGAGTGAAGTTGCAGACTGTGCCACCGGTAAGCCATATGCTACTTCTGTTAGATACACACAGCAAGACTGATATGTGAGGTAAATAAATGGTTGTATAATTCATTCCTGCCTATGCTGGATATTAACCATTAGCCCAGCATTGGACATTTCTACCTCCATCACTCAGGCACATGATGATATGATATTTTGTGTGCGTTTGCTTGCTTCTAAGGCGTTGACATATCAAATTCTCAGCCACATGTCAGAAATGTCAACACTCAGTGGTTCTTCGTGACAGAAAACTTTATCCATCAGTACCAGATTTTTATAGATGTACCCCCCATGGCTATGCTGTAGTTGCTTCTTCAACTGTGATTGTTTTTTTGTTTTCTTTTTTCGTTCATGGTTTGTGCACTGTTTGACAATTTCTTACTGTATTATCAGTGATCACGAGCTGAGCTGCAGTTTATCATGAAAATGTGGGGTTTTTAAAGGTGCTATGTGTAGTATTATCTAATTAAACCAGATGTGATCTACTCAATATTCCTTTGTTTCATTAAACATTTAGCGATTCTTGATTTGCTCATGAATCCTGTGAAAAGCACTTTTGATGAAGCCCTGTCACTTTTGCTTCTTTATTTGCAGACTGGTAGCTGAATATTCAGAAGCAACAATCAAATCTGCTGCTATGAAGCAGCTTAGACTGACTATAAAGTGCACCACATATATTATTCTATTAGGTACTGTAATATCTAGTGAAAATCCTACACATAATACCTTTAAGTGAAAGAATTATTATGAATTTTCTCACAGTAAAGATGTAAAGAAATTTGTCCAATTGTGATTTTCTTTTTCTTTCTGGTGTCTTACACTGAATTTGTGTTTTTAAAAAAAAATATTTTCTGGAAAAAAAAAAAGTACAAACACGATCATTGCAGTTTTATGAATTTATCATGTATTTTAAGCTTTATTAAAAGTGTATAATTGTGGGCAGTGTTTTCAGTAATGTTTGGGTTTTGTTAATTTATTACCTAATTGTTGAAATATCTAACTTTTAAAACATGAGACTTGGTACATACATACAGTATATATTTAAATATGGTACTTTGCATGTGCACTAACTGTCTTGGATTAAACTGCATTAAGTTGAAATAAAATGGGTTTGATGCCAAAATATCTTTTTTTTTTTCTCTTCTGTCTTAGTTATTATCACAGTTTTGAGTTAATGTCATTTCTTTTTTTATTGACACCTGGCAGTGAGAATTTATGGGTCAGCTGTTAAAAATGAAGAAGGGTTAAATTGTCTTTAAGGAAAGATATAAGAAACCAAGTGAAAGCGCTGATGAGATGTGGCACAAAAGGGAAGGAAAGTGTCTGTGTATCACATTTAAACAGGGTGGCTGCTACACTGAGTAGACAGTGGAAACCTGTTTAATTAGAGACGTTGATTTGATTCTTCATTTCTCACTAAACTGGAGTAAGATTGCACCTACAGGAGTATCTAAGCAACCTTTATAAGCCTGCAAGCAACACTTAGTGCTTTAATTCCTCATATGTAGCATTTATAAGCATTTAATACACACTGTAATGTAGTGGTAAGCAGTTATACATGTTTATTAATGTATCTGTCAATAGCTATTACTCCTCCTGTGGACACTCATAAGTGGAGGCTGCTGTATGAACAGATACTGAATGATAATACAATAAAACACAGTTGTAATAATATAAAATATGTCTTCATAGGAGAAGTATGACAAATAATGTACATTAATTAACACA